TTTAAAATTTAACAAGATAACAACCTAAAAAAAATTTGTTTGCTTGAAATTATAGCAAAGGTGTGTCTCAGACTAACATTTGCTTAATAAATGCACTTTATTGGTCAAATTAGCTGCATTTCACCAGGGCAGTGCAGCTGATTTGACAGTTCCAAGCAGCGAGCAGAATGAAGGTGGGGAGACTGTGGCAGGCCGATTGAGTCATTAATAGCTGAAGATTCTTAGTCATCCAGGACATGGTAAATTCAAAAAAGTTCAAGGAAAAAACAATAAAGTATAAAGTATAATAAAAAAGTCCAGTTGTTTTTGTCTCAAACTTTTTTGCATTTGTCATTGTAGCCACGTTTACCTATTACATGATACAAAGGCATGCCATACAGCTACTACTACTTTGCTGCCATCAAGTGGCTAAAAGTGGTACTGCTCAATTTTTTTTCAGTCAGAATGAGTGAAAACGGTCATATTTCAGTCAAAAAATTGTTTATAAATATGGGAAAAAAAATCTATAAATATGTCACTTCAGCCTATAAGTCGCAGCGTATGTAAATTATGCAAAAAACTGTGAATTATATGCCGAAAAATATGGTATATAGTATAACATAATTTTCAGCCCCCTTTTTGGCATCTGTATTTGGTAGCAGGCCAAAATAACAATGACTATGCAGAATAATGTAGTATTTTAATTCCACAGCAGAGAAAGCTACGTAGTCTCTGTAAGTAGGTCCAGGGGAAAAAAAAAATCTGTATTGATATTGGTTATCGGTCAAATAAGTTTTAACATTTTGGCATATCAGATATCGGTCCAAAATCCAATATTGTGCATCCCTAGTGTCAACATTATATCAAAAAACTTTTCAAAACACAAAAACGTCAATCAGTTTTACAGACACTGAGCTAAATGTTTGTGTGGTAGTAGTTGAGACTGATCCCTGATACATACTCTGAGCACTAACAGATTACACAAGCTCTTTGTTTAATATTTAGTCTTTAACTGTTTAGAGCAAACTGTCTGTTTTTTAGCAAAATATCTCAGGAAACACTGGATGGATTTTAATGAAACTTTCAGAAAGTATTCACTGGATGTCTAGCTACAACAACTTAATCTTTGGAATCAATCTATTTTAAGATGGATGCTCCAGTTAATTAATAGACAACACAAAAATATCTGTAACTGTCAGTTTTACTGAGTTTCAGCTAAAACGTCACTTTGAGCATCTGAGCATTACATCCTACATTAATTCATTATATGTAATTTTCATGGTTTGAACAAAATGGCTAGTATGAGGTACCAGGTCCTTTGATATGGGCTGTTAGGTCCCTGTACAATCGCTGTCAGAGCTTGGTCCGCATTGCTGGTAGTAAGTTGGGCTCGTTCCTAGTGAGAGTTGGACTCCACCAAGGTTGCCCTTTTTCACCAATTCTGTTCATAACATTTATGGACAGAATTTCTAGGCACAGCCAAGGTATTGAGGGAATCCGTTTTGGTGGCCTTAGGGTTGCTTCTCTGTTTTTTTTTGCAGATGATGTGGTCCTATTGGCTTCATCAGGTTGTGATCTACAGCTTTCACTGGAGCAGTTCGCAGCCGAGTGTGACGCGGCCGGGATGAGGATCAGTTCCTCCAAATCCGAGGCCATAGTCTTGAGCCAGAAAAGGGTAGAGTGCCTTCTCCAGGTCAGGGAGGAGGTCTTGCCCTCATCTATGGTTAGGATGCCTCCTGGACGCCTCCTTGTTGTGGTGTTCCGGGCACGTCCCACCGGGAGGAGACTCAGATGAAGACTCAGGACACGCTGGAGGGACTATGTTTCTCGGCTGGCCTGGGAACGCCTTGGGATTCCCCCAGAGGAGCTGTCCCAAGTGTCTGGGCCTCCCTACTTAGGCTGCTACCCCCGCAACCCTACCACGGAGAAGCGGAAGAAAATAGATGGATGGATTGATGGATGAACAAAATGGCTACATCTTCATTATTTCTCAACATAAGATGGTCTAAGTTCAAAACTCTGACATGAAAGTTGCCAGACGACATGCTTTCCTTTAAGTAATGTTAGGCCTTTTAATTGTACCTGAGTTTTTGTTGTTGTGATTGTACAACAATTTTCTGTGATGGACTAGTTGTGACCTGTCCAAGTTGTCCCCCACCTCTCGCACAGTGATAGCTGGACATGGGCACCTCCATGACCCAAAAATGAAGAAGTATGTAAAGATGGATGGATGTACAACGATTATAATAAGTTTAGCATCTAATGATGGTTTCAGCTCATCTTCCAACACACACGGGACACCAGGTTGTCTGCAAAGCTTACTTTAAAACCTGCTATCGTTATATGATCATTGTTCATTCATTTGGCTGTCTGACTGAAGTTTTAACTCATGTTAATATATTAATAAAATCCATCATAACACTCCTGTTAATTGCAAAAATAGTCTTTCAATGCTTTTTCACATTAAGATTTCCCCAATGCTTTTTGCTTGATCCAGTATTTTTCCACTTAAAAAACTCAACCCCATAGTAAAAAACAAGCACTGCACCTTGTTGTCTGCTTTCATGCCAAGTGCACACACAATTCACACATTCTACCTCTACACACACCATCCTCCATGCACTCTCGTTGCCTCCCAAAAGACTGACCAATGCAGACGTTCTCATCATCCAGTTCGGCAGAGGCGTTGCGGAAGTATCCCAGTCTGCAGTGTTGGCAGTTCTGGCCTCTGGTGTTGTGCTTGCAGCTGACGCAGGTGACAATGTTCAGGTAGTCGATGTAGCTGCAGCGATTGGAGTGGCCGTTGCACTCACAGTCTATGAGAAAACAGACACATTCTCCTCAGACCCAAGATTTTAATTTTTTTCAATATTTAACAATAAAGAACCGGGTATGGAAGTATGTTGCATTCTCAGTGGATTACTGAATAACAGCAGGAAAAGACAACAAATATTTCAGAAACTTTTGGCTCCACATATCCGTTTAAAGAATGAATGACTGTGTGTGTTTTCTTAGGCACCTATCTCAGTCTATATTGGTTTAATAAAGACAGACCACTCCCTATTAGTGCACTCACAGGCTTGCTGAGTCTGCTTCAATGTGCCACTCTGATTACTAAAGGGAATTCCACAACCCTGTGTGTATGTGTGTGTTTGTGCATATGTATGTGTGCAGGCATGCAAGTGCAGCCATGTTGACTTTGTCTGGGGAATTTAATTACAGTATGTCACCGCACGAGACAAGATACAATATCATAGTTAAAGGGGTTTGTGGTGAGAAATACAGTAGGCGTCTCCATGCTGCACATAAAACTCTAAAATTTGTTCGATCTGGAAAGAAAACTTGATTCTCTTTCAAAGCTTGGCAATAAAAGGGTCTACATATCATAAAAGCAATTCCAACATAAAGAGACATCAATGTCAGTAAGATGCATTAGGAGCAGCCCTGCTCTGTGAGACTGTTCACCTCTCAAAAGCGAGAAGGTTGTTTGTCCATGCTTGGAATAATTACTCACGGTTGTGTCTGATGATTATGCAATGTCTAGTGGTAAAAAGAGCAACTACATGTTAATTGTTAAAATGATTTATATTAGCCTTAGAACGGCAGTAAAATACAGTGCAGTTTATGTCTAACCATGTATTTTATCCACCACAACTCATTCAATCCTATCAAACAGGACACTGATGTCCCTCGTCAATAAAAGTTTTGAAAAATAAATTGTAGTTTTTGAAACAAGTGTTCTGTCTGTCTGTCTGTCCGTCCGTCCGTCCGTTCGTCCGTCCGTCCGTCCGTCCGTCCGTCCGTCCGTCCGTCCTTCTATCTATCTATCTATCTATCTATCTATCTATCT